CAAGGTTGTGAGTTCAATTCCTGGTACTGGAAAAAAACCAAAAAAAAAAAACCAAAAAAAAAAAAAAAAAGAGGGTCACAAATTTGAACCTAACCCTAGGAATTTATTTTAAAAAGGGGCGGGGATCTAGCTCAGTGAAAAGCTCTAGGGTTCTAGCCCCAGTACAACCACCACCACCACCAAAAAAGAAAAAAAAAAGTAGTTCCAAATTCTAGACTGTTATAGCCTCTGACACTGTCAAAGTAGACATTAAAAACAAGAATGAAACCACCCTTATTTTTAACCCAAATATTCTGTGTTAGGATGGTCTGTTTTTGGTACATGTTGTAAAAGTATAGATAATATTGGGCTGGGCATGGTGGCACACACCCGTAATGCCAGCACTTGGGAGGCAATGGCAGGAGAATCGAGGTGATTTCAAGACTAGCCTGGGCTACATAGTGAGTCCTTGTCTCAAAAAAAAAAAAAAAAAAGAAAAAAATATAGTATTGGGTTTTTGTTCCTTTTTCCTCTTATGTCCCAAGTTTCTTTAAATCAGCTAAACATAGTTGTAATCATACTTTATGTAGAATTTTATATTGTTTTGAAATTTTTGCATGTTTATGACATTTTATGAGCTACAAAATAATTTTTGATTAGATATAATTTGTAGTGTTTAAATTTTTATCTGTTGTTGAATTTGTTTCCTGTTTTCAGTGTTATACATAATTTTTTCATATTAAAGCACACATTGCCAGGTGTGGTGGTGCATGCCTGTAATCCTAGCACTTGGGCCTGTAATCCCAGCATTTGGGAGGCTGAGGCAGGAGGATTATTGTGAGTTCGAGCCCAGCCTAGGCTACAAAGTGAGTTCAAAGCCAGCCTGAACTCCATAGGGAACGAAACCCTTTCTTGAAAAGACCAAAAAGCCGGGCGTGGTGGCACATGCCTGTAATCCCAGCACTTGAGAAGCTGAGGCAGGAGGATTGTTTGGAGTTCGAGACCAGCCTGAGCTACAAAGTGAGCTCAAGGCCAACCTGAACTGCATGGCGAGACCCTGCCTCAAAATCACACACACACACACACACACACACACACACAAACAAAAAAAAAAAACAAAAAAAAATGGGGCTGGGGATTTAGCTCAGTGGCACAGCGCCTGCCTGGCAAGCATGACGGTGTGAGTTCAATTCCCGTACCGTGGGGGAAGAAAAAACCCAAAAAGTAAAAATTAAAAAATCAGATATTGTTGAATTTTTACGTTTTGAAAACTGGTTTAAGCTGGGCATGGTGTCTTACACCTGTAATCCCAGCACTTGGGAGCCTGAACAGTCTCAAAGAGATATAAAAAAAGAAAGAAAGAAAACTGGCTTTGAAGTCCCTGTACACTTTTAATTAGCTCCAAGACTTGGGAAAGTTATAGTGCCGCACTTCTTGAAACCTTGTTCTTCTTACCTAAAAAAAAAATTGTGGCTTTGGCTGCTTGTGGTGGTGCATGCCTACAATCCCAACACTCCAGGAGACTGAGGTAGGAAGATCACAAGTTTAATTCCAGCCTGGGCACTTAGTCACTTCAGAGACACCCATCTCAAAAAGATTTTAAAGGCTCATAATATAGTTCAACATGAGTGTCCTGGTTCAGTCTCCAGTACTTGGCAGGGGGGATGTTACGGTTTTGAAAGTACCTACTTGATTGGGTTGTTGTGAGAATTCAATGAGAATATAAGAAACAGAACCTATTACAAAACCAAGTGATTAACAAACAGGATTTAGCCAGGTGTGGTGGTGTACACCTATAATTCCAGCACTTGGGAGGCTGAAGTGGGAGGACTGCCACAAGTTCAAGGCCAGCTTGAACTACATAGAAAGAGCCTATCTCAAAAAAACAAAAAAAAAGCAAAGCCCTTAAAACACCCCCCCACACACACATTTCCCTTAACTGTCTTGCTTACATAAAGTACCAGTGAAATGCTCAAAATAAAAAATTGTTTTTGAGACAAGGTCTTGCTGTATGGTACAGGCTGGCCTCAAACTCTCAATAATCTTCCTGACTCAGCTTCTTTTGTTTTTGTGAGACAGTGTCTCACTATGTAGATGATGGTGGTCTCGAACTCACAGCAATCCTCCTGCCTCAGCCTCCCAAGTGCTGGGATTACAGGCGTGACCAGTACGCCCCGCTCTTGACTCAATTCTGATTGCAGGGATTAAAAGGGTGTGCAACTACACCCTGCTCATTATCGGTATAAATAGACCTTTCTTCCAGGAAGCTAAGCTTGTCTTCAGTGCATATCCTTGTAGCTCTCCCGGATCACTGAGCTGAGATGGCTGATGAACTTGTATGGGAACCTTTAAGTGTCCTGTGATTCTGCTTCAAGTTTCTCATTTCCTGAGGTAAGGAATTGGGAGAAAAACGGGGCGGGGAGGGGGGCGGGGAGAGTAAGTGGGGTATAATGAGTGCTCTGATTCTGTGGTTTGCTAATAGGGATCTCATCTAAATCCCCTCACCCCAACCATGGTTGTTTAACTTTTTGCTTGGGCTCATGTGAATCTGGTTCTTAAACGTGTCATGTTGTATGCCTACCAAAAAAATCCCTCTTGGAAATTGAGCTCCTCTTCTAAGGTATAGGTCTCTGCTAAAATGTGACACCCCGCCTTCCTCAGCGCCAGGTCTCATTGACATGTCAGGGTACAGCCGTGTGGGAACTTGCCAGGAGAAAGTCCTCTAGGGTCTGAAAGAGGCTAGGAAATTGAAGATGGGGGGGCAGCATGCAGGTCTCCAGGTAGTGCATCTTTCAGTCGTCAAAGATCCAAAAGGGGCGCGCGTTATATGTTAGGCATACCGTCACGCGGTGGAAATAGAAATAGAGAACCCCTCACCGGCAGGCACTCACCACTTAGAAAAGAACCCGTTAGGAGCACAGTGGAGGTAGGCCCGCTGTGCAAGGCACCGCAGCCGGGGTGTTGGTGTTTGCAGTGATCTGGTTGAGAACAGATTGCAGGTACAGAGGCACAGTCTGCATGCCAGGTATACCTACGAGGAGGAGAAATGTGGAAACTTTCGCAAAGTAGCTAAGTCTTGAGTGTTTAAAGCTGCAGTAAAAAAATCTGAGCTTTATCCAGTGGTGCAGGTTGGAAGGGCGGTGACCTAGAAAGTGAGAGACTGTAACAGTCCGGACAAAAGAAACACACTAGGCAGGGAAAAAAAAAAAAAGAAACACACTAGGCAGGACCACAGTGGTGGGTGGGTCTGAGTGAGAACTCTTCCCTGCTTTGTAGTTGGGGTGACCTGTATATGGGGGTGCCATTAAGTTGAAAACTAAGCTCCTTCCTGGAGTGCTTCATTCAGAACCTCCACTTCCGGCAACATCCCACCTTCTGGCGTTTTCCCGGTTAAAAGACTGTTTCCAGGAAACACACGCACAGGCACACTCGTATCCGGCCTCTGCCTCCCAGCAGCAGAGCCAAGATGGCGGCCCCCACGGACTGACTGGTCATGTGACTTCGGGTTTCCCTAGATTGAGGCCCGGCAGCCGGTTCCGAGGCAAGGCTCACTTTTGTCACCCAACGGGCGTCAGCCCTTCCAATCTCGCCAGCCAATCGTCGTCGGAGACCTGACTGCTGCAGTGAAGCGATCAGAAGACTGGAGCTTTCCAGTCGCTTAGTCAAGGGCCAATAGGAAAAGGATAAGCGGGAATGTCGTCACTGCAGTAGTATTGTTGCCTAAGGACTTGAGAGGAGGTGGGACGTGTGTTGATTGACAGGCAGATTTCCCCTACCGGGATTTGAGATTTTGGTGTGGTGTCCCGCCTTAGAGGCGGGGTCTTATTTGATTGCCAAGTCATACTCCCCAATGGAGTTCCAGCCCGGCGTGACGGGCACCCTACTTGACTAATGAATCCTCGACGTGGCCAGAGCAGCTCTCCAATCGCGGAGCGGCGGGCCCCAGTCTGAGCGGCGATGGCGGCGGCGGCGGCGGCGGCAGCAGCAGCAGGGGCTGCGGGTGGTCGGGGCTCCGGGCCGGGGCGGAGGCGCCATCTTGTGCCCGGGGCCGGTGGGGAGGCCGGGGAGGGGGCCCCGGGGGGCGCAGGGGACTACGGGAACGGCGTGGAGTCTGAGGAACTGGAGCCTGGGGAGCTGCTGCTGGAGCCCGAGCCGGAGGCCGAGACCGAAGAGGAGCCGCCCCGGCCCCGCGCCCCCCCGGGAGCTCCTGGCCCTGGGCCCGGCTCTGGAGCCGCCGGTAGCCACGAGGAGGAGGAAGAGCCGGGGCTAGTGGAGAGTGACCCGGGGGACGGCGCCATTGAGGACCCGGTGAGGGAAGGAGGGCGGGCGGCCG